GAGAAACTGGTCTCCTCTGTCCCCAGACGTCTGTTGAGTGTTGTAAGAAGAAGGGGGGATGCCACACAGTGGTAAAAATGGACTTGTCCCAACTTTTTTGGGATTTGTTGATGCCATGAAATTTGGAAAAAACAGATTTTTCCCTTAAAATGATAAATTCTCTCAGTTTAAACTTTTGATCTGTGATTTGTGTTCTATTCTGAATAAAATATTAGATGTTGGCACCTCCACATCATTGCATTCAGTTTTTATTCACAATATGTTTAGTGTCCCAACTACACATATACGGCGGTGGCGCAACTGGTAGAGCTACTGCCTCTCAGCGAGCAGGTCCCTGGTTCAAATCCCAATCTGTGGGCCTTTGTGGGTGGAGTTAGCATGTTCTCTCCGTGCATGCGTGGGTTTACTCCGGGTACTCCGGTTTTCTCCCACAGACCAAAAACATGCATGTTAGACTGCTTGGTAACTCCAAATTGTCTCTAGGTGTGAGTGAGAGAGTGAATGGTTGGTTGTCTCTACGTGGCCCTGTGATGGACTTGCGACCCGTCCAGGGTGTACCCCGCCCCTCACACAGTTATTGCTGGACATGGGCACCGGCGACCCCTGTGACCCAAAGTGGATAAAGCGGGTAAAGAAAATGGATGGATGTGTATATATATATATATATATATATTTACTGTACTTATATAGCGCCTTTCTATCTTATCAAGATATTCAAAGCTCTTTACACTACAATCTGTGTCCTCGTGTACAGTACACAGTATATATACAGTATACAGTATATATTCATTCAACCTTTATTTAAACAGATAAATCACATTGAGCCTCGAAGACTCCTTTACAAGTGAGACCTGTTCGGACACACAAAAACAGTGGTTAACTGGACACATGTAGGAGTTGGAGGCACACTGTATATATACAGTGTACTGTATATATACTGTGTACTGTATACTGTGTACTGTATATATACTGTGTACTGTATATACTGTGTACTGTATATATACTGTGTACTGTATATATACTGTGTACTGTATATATACTGTGTACTGTATATATACTGTGTACTGTATATACTGTGTACTGTATATATATATATACTGTGTACTGTATATACTGTGTACTGTATATATACTGTGTACTGTATATTTACTGTGTACTATATATATACAGTATACAGTATATATACAGTACACAGTATATATACAGTATAAGCTTGAGGTTTTGTGTTTAGTTGAAGTTTATATAAACTACTTCTTTACATAAATCCTGAGGATTACTGCCCTGTGGTGACACCTGGCTCACCGTGTGGGAGGTGGGCCTGTGCGTGTTGGATGCAGCAGGTGTTGCTGTATTTTCGTGCATGACATGCAGACAGTAGCTGACCTCGGCCTAACATGGCCATGACACTTTGATCGCTGTCAGCTACATGGCAGCACTGTGTCACCGTCAGTCCTGCTTCTCCATCATTATCTATGCGGCCTGTCCTTTCACGTACTGACAAAACAACGGTGTAGTTAAACTTATGGATCATTTTTGAATTAAACTTTCGGTGGGTTTGAATGAGTGCCTACAGTTAGACCAGCTTTCTGTTCCTTGACAGATCGGAGTAAATATTGACATGATGGGCGTGAATGCACTTGTTTCAACAGCACCGGAACAAAGATGTCTCATGGAGCTGTGGCTAACGTTAGCCCTTTAAAAGCTATGTCTTTATGCTACTCATTAGCATTCCAGCCGGTTATTGTTGTTGCTGTTGTCGTTAAAGCACAAAACCGTTCACCGTTTAGCTAACCTGCGGTTTCAGACCATCTCGACGAGCTCGTGTAAACAATTTACGGCCAAAACTGACTGACAACAGCCGAAGCCAACTAGCGAAAAGAGCAATTAGCTTCGTATTAATGTGTCGGTGCTGCGCAACGCCCTTACCCATTTCTGTGTTTGCTGTCGTGTCTTTTGAGTCGCCTCACAGGTTGTAGGGGGATATTGTCCGTCATTCCTGCAGCCCCTGGTTGCGGGTGGGAGCTGGAGGCAGTCAGTCCGGCTGTAGCGGTCCTGTGCTGGGCGGAGGCTCCCAGCTGTCACTCACACAGGACGGTTGGCGGTGCTGGGACACATCGGGCGCGGGCGCATATTGTGTGTTTTCACTTCGAATATGTGACGCATTTTTAAATAGATGAGCTTCAAACTTTCTATTCTGGGTATTCTTAAGTTTACTTATTATGTATGCGTGTCAGTACACAAATATAACAAGACTGGTTTATTTACCTCCATCTAAGAGGAAATCCCGCCTTTGCCACTTCTAGCCGGATCATACTACGGCTTATCTAAAAGAAGTACACCTATTCACACTTGATTTGGAGAAAACTGCGTGAGCAGTCATCTCACTGTCAACGTGAAGGCGGACAATAATGTTTTTGCATTTGAATGCGTGTGCTGTGCATCTGACTTTTGTCAGAATATCTCGTGAACTACTGGACGAAGTTTAATGAAACTCGCAGTAGGTAATCTATAAATTTGCAAGTGTTACTGAACAACTTTATGGAGCCAACTCAATTCGACTGCCAACTGACCTAAAACAAAACTGACATAGCTCAGTAATTTTTCATATGTTGACCCCAAATTTGATGTGGTAGTAGCCAAGAGTGATTTACAACACATGATCTGAGCACTAACAAACTGACATTCATAAGTTTAATAGAATAGAATAGAATAGAATAGACACGTTTATTAATCTTCAGTGAGGAAATTAGATTGTCACAGCAGCAGGAACAGCACTGTGCAAAACCAGGTTAAAACAGGTACTGAAAACACAGTACAGAAACAGGTGCAAAAACAACACAACTTAATCACATGAGAACAGTACATTGTTAGGTGTGCACAAACAAACGGTGTAAAACTGGTGCAAATACCACAGATGATCAATGGAAATACACTCAAGTCCAATCCTGTCATGAGGCAAATAACTTGAATTATTTCACTGCCATTGTCAGGAAAGATTTCTTGTCCCGCTCTTTTGAACAGTGAGCTTAGTGTAGTCTGTTGCTGAAGCTGTCCTTCAGATTGTCTAGTTTTGTGGAGGGGGTCCTTTAAAATTTTGCAATTAACTATTCTGTAAGTACTTTGTATTACCAAAATATCTCAGGAACCATAAAACAATTTTTTTATGAAACTTTTTGGGAAATATTCATTGGCTGTACCTCTACAGCTAATTAAGCAATGAAGACAACTTGATTTGCGATGGCTGCCATACAGAAAACACAAAAGGACTATTATTCAGTCAGAATTTAGAAGAACTATAACAAATTTATTGATCTTGTATCATAAAACATTTTTCGTTACAATATGGACCAAAACAAAAACAGAAAAAAGATCATAAATTCACGAAATATAAATTAAACAGAAGAATCACACAATGTAAACACAATAGAAACAAAAATAGTTTTTTCAGATCTTGTTAAAGAAAATAGACTTTGGGTGTTGCAGCCTGTCCCCATAGTGTCATGGAAGGAATGACTTTTGTTGTTGATGATGGATGTCAGCTTTGCCACTATCTCACCCACCGTTCAGTTGTGTCCAGAGGGTGGTCCAGAACCGAGCTGGCTCTCCTGACCAGCTTGCTCAGCTTTTTCTTATCCCTCTCTATGCAGCCACGTTCTCATGAGACCACAGACAACACCAGAGTAAAAAAAAGGTTTCAGCAGAGTCCTGAACGCTCCATAAAAAGAAAACTCTGGGTAACCTCAGCAGGTGGAGGCAACTTTGGCACTTCTTGAACACAACGTTTGAATTAAGGGACCAGTCTAGTTTGTCAGGTATTTGTACTCCACTACAGTTTTAATGTTCAAACTCTGGATGTTCACTGGTGTTGGGGTGTGAGCTTCTTCCTGTAATCACAATCTCCTTTGTCTTTAGTGGTGCTGATGTGAAAGTAGTTAACCTCATACCAGCTGACAAAACCTGACCAAAATCTGACCAGCCGTCCATACTGTTTGAAGTCTGAGGGTGAAGAAGAGGAAGGTGGAGAGAATTATTCCCTGTGGGACCCTTGTGTTTACTTCCTCATCAGACACACAGTCATGAAGCCTCACATAGTGTGATTTGTTATGCATGCAGTTAGAAGACTGTCCACTCCAGCTTCTTCCAACTTCACCGGCAACAGTGAAGACTGAATGGGGATGAAAGCATAAGAAAGTAGAAAAAGATGACCCTCACAGTGCTTCCATGGTTGTCCAGGTGAGAAATGAATCAGTGTACTTGGTATATGACTTTGATGTCCAGCGATATACAAACTGCAGGGGATCCAGTTAGGAGATTTTAGAGTCCAAAGGTGGTTCAGCACTATCTTATCCATGATCTTCATCAAGTGGGATGTCAGGGCAGCTCACCAAAAGTGGTTGGGTTCCCTAGGATGTGCAGTGTTAAGAAACAGAACCATCCAGGAAGTTTTCCACAGGATAGGTGCCCTCCCTGGGTTGAGACTGGTTGAAGATGTACACCACACCAGCACCTCAAAGAGCTGGTCTGCACTGTCCTTGAAAAGTCTGGAGATGATATCATCAGGGCCAGCATCTTTTCTCACCTTGATCTTCTTCAACTCCCTCCTCACCTGGTCTGCAGTGGTGTGGATTGTAGAGGTGGGGGTGGATGGTGATGCCAGTAGACACAGGGTGATAGAGATTGGTACAACTGATAATTATGTTTGCCTTAACAGGGATATGTGTAGGAGGTCAGTAGTAATTCAAGGATTCAAGGAAAACCTGCCCCCACCCTCATTCGCCCCACTCTGGGCCCTTGAGCAAGGCCCTTAACCCCCACCATGTGCTCCCTAAACAGGTCTCTCTTGAAAATGAGTTCTCGTGGCTCAATGAGACTACCTGTATAAATAAAGGGTAAATGAAAAAAGTAAAATAAAATATGGAGGTAGAAAAGAAGCACAGTGGAGTCAGATCAGTAAAATAACAGATTCAGTGTTGGCCCAAATTCTATCTCCTGGTTCAGGGCCCCTCCTCCTGTTTTTGTCATGGCCAAAGATGTCCAGAAGTGTGCTCAATAATACAGGTAGAAAAATCTAACCAAATCAAGTCAGGTCCTCTGGACAAAAAACAAACAAACAAAAAACTTGTTGAAAAGTTTTGTCTTTAACCCAAAAGACTTTGTCAGTCTGACGAGCTGCAGTAACCTCAGTTTTATAAATAGCCCCTTATCATAATGGATCAACCACTATCATTCATTCATTCATGCAGTCATTCATACAAACAGTAGATACATATGATATTGATAAGGATGGGTTTTTGGATTTGTGTATGACACTGGACAGCAGGATATGGTCAAAATGATTTAATGAAATATTGTTGCTGGTGGAGGTCTGGGGCCAAAAACGGGTCCAATCTTCACAATCAGGAAAGGGAGAAGCTCCTTGAAAGTTGTTAAGGTTGATGTCATATGCTGTGAGAGAGCTGCAGCAGAGGGAAAGGATTATGCAGAGTGTGGTTTTCAGGATTGTCTGAGGGCAAAGTCCCGTCAAGCAGGCAGGGGTCATGAACCGTAGAGTAGAAATCCAAAGACACATCTAAAATGTGATCTGTGAGGCGTAGTCGTGAAAATAGTAAGCAGAGTCGGTACCATGGTCAGAAAGCAGAATCCAAACCAGGCCAGGGTCAGGCAAGGCGAGGAATCTGGAAGACAGACTTGGGATCATAACAAGACAGGCAGATATGGCATGGATGCTGGATGTCTACTATCACAGCGAGTTTGATAATCTGGGAACAAGTGAGTGAGAGCATGAGGCTTAAGTAGGGAGCAGAACAGGTGCATGAGATCAAGGTTGAATTACTGTGGAGGAGCAGAGTGGCGTGGTGCAGGATGACAGGAATAGAACTTGATCTTGGGCATGAGAAAAACAAAGCATGAAAACATAAACTATGGCAGGAGGGGCAGAAATGTGACAGATATATAAACCACTATGATATATTGGATGTTGTTGACATCCAAAACTAGCTGTTCACATGATAAAGTAAGACCATCAGCCTAACAACCAAACGTTAGTGCTCTGAACGTCACATACAGAACACCATGGACTTTGTGGATAAGGTAAGGGATGTCACCATGGAGACTGATGAAACAATGGTCTCTTTTGATTTCACATCACTCTTTACATGCATTCCTGTTGATGATGCAGTAGAGGTGGTCAGTTTAAGATTAAAATCAGACACCACTCTGAGCAGCAGGACCACGCTTTCCACAGAACAACTGTGTCAACTCTTGAAACTGTGCCTGCAGTCAACCTACTTCACATATGGGGAGCAATATTATAGGCAGAAACATGGGTGTGCTATGGAACCTCTGGTTTATCCTATTGTTGCCAACCTGTACATGGAGGAGGTAGAAAAGAGAGCCTTGACATCCTTTTCAGGGACACCACCAAGTCATTGGTTCAGGTATGTTGACGACACCTGGGTTAAAATTAAATCTCAGGAAGTCCAACATTTTACTGACCACATCAACTCTGTGGATAAATACATCAAGTTCACACGAGAAGATGTAAAAAATGGCAAGTTGGCTTTCTTGGACTGTGAGGTCTCAGTTTCTGATGGAGGACATTTGCAAACTGAGGTGTACCGCAAACCCACCCACACAGTTTGCAGTTTGACTCCCATCACCCTTTGGAGCACAAGTTAGGAGTCATCAGGACTCTGTATCACAGAGCAGACAGCGTCCCCACTAGCTCAGGAGCCAGGCAGAAGGAGAAATCCCACACAAGACAGGCTCTAGAGCAATGTGGATATCCTAACTGGGCCTTCCTGAAAGCAGAGAAGAAACCCAAACAGGACTCCAGTCAGCCATCAGGTGAAAAGGAAGACCCAAGATCCAGACCAGTTTCGTATGTTGTGGGTGTTTCAGAGAAACTGGGATGTTTATTTTCTAAACATGATGTCCCAGTGGCTTTTAAACCCCAAAATACATTACGGCATAGACTGGTCCATCCCGAAGATACAGTCCCCCAGTACAAACAGAGTAATATTGTGTATGCTGTTCAGTGTCAGGAGGACTGTG